CCGCGGGGGGGCCCCGCGTGATTAGGGGGCCCCGCGTCGTCGTGATTTTCAATAATTAAAAATCCACCGGCGAACGCAATAATCAAACTCTTGGGAACAACTGTGGTCGGAACCAAAGTTCACACGTCTGTGTTCTCTGAACACATCTCAAGCGGTGGACAACTTCATTCTGATTGCTTGCCGCCAATGTTGCCAACTTAGAGACTTTGTCACTAGATTTAGCGACTTTTCAGACCCCCTTAGCGACAAATCTAGCGACTTTTTTTTTGTGTGTTATTGGAGATTTTTATTAGACTGTCATTTGTCCATACTGTACCATCCCTACTCTTCTCAACGAGCTGCGTGTGATGCCGCCGGCCCCTCCCCCGCCTCACAGCACTGACAGGCGGCCCAGTCAGTCCTCGTACAGCAGCCTCTCCCACCTGCAGCCCGAGAGCAGATCACCCCTCTGCGTACCGACGACAAATGATTTAGCACAGGCAGTGTGAAGGTATTTCCCTTGTACAGTCAAACCGATCTACTTCTACTTTATTTTAACAATTTAATTGGACCGTTTATTCTTTTCTTGTTCACAATCACAGATATTAGTGACTTTAGTTTCTGAACTTGTCTGAGTTTATTACATATGAGAGATTACTGCACATTCACTACATATCTATAATGACATACTGTATTCAAACAGCAATAAATTTAGTTAAATAAACATGCTTTTATAAAGTGTAGTGCAATTATAAATACCCCTTTATTAACCATAGGCTGTTAACCAAACAGAAACGGTAGAACGTGATGACGCCAGTGATATGCAAATTGACGTATGACGTATCCCCCCCTCCCTTCATCAGGGGGCCCCGTTAGCGATCCCTGCAGGGGGGCCTCTGCATTTTGCGCTACGCCATTGCAGATAATGTTATCTTTTAAAACTTTTTTAGTCAATAAAAGCTGTTGATTGTGTTGTTTTATGAATGGGTTACATGCACAGAAGTGTTGTTCAGCCACTGAAATCTTCCAGCGAAAGATTGATGTGACTAATTTTAATTTCATAAGCGACCCTTTACAGCATCGATAATCTAGATTTTAATTTAGTTTAACAACAAAACGTCAGTAAATAGCACTAATCCGTCTAGCCTGCTTTACTGAGGTGAAGATGGTTTTATATTCACATTGGTTCATTTTTAAATAATGACAACCTGTGACGCGCTCCAAATATTGTTTACAATGCTACTTTGAGTATTCTGTCTGAAGTATGGCTTAGTAATAAGTGGAATTCCTGCACGCTACCGGCCAACCACTAAGCAGTAGTTTCTTTAGGACAAAGCGCATAAGAAAGTGAGACCAGCTATCCTTGCATGCATGAAATATTGCACATTGTGACAAATTTTGCTTTCTAACTGCAACTGAAAATGTTTTTCGTTCAGAATCGTAATATTATAAAGTACTATAAAGTTTTTTAAGAGTGACTGACATGATCTAGTGGATCTCTGTCACCTTTAATGTGCACGTTTGTGATTTACAGAAGCATGGCTTTGGACGGCAGGGGAGGGATTTTGTTTCAAAGATATTATAAGACATACCATTTAGCATTTAGGTAGATCACCTACTGCACCTTTAATGTCTAGTTTACTATAGTTTAAAATAGAAAACATGATTATTGTACTGTAGGTCTGTTTGTTATTGGAGTGGTGTAGCGTTTTCTTTTTTAAGCAGGGTTATTGAGCAAAGAGTGTTTTTTTTCTTTTTTTTTTTTCTTTCTATCCATAAGTTTATTTTTCAGATCACTGTTTTCAGGTAATTTTGCTGGTCAAACAGAATAAAGTATTCTTTTTAAACACCTGCCTTGTGTTTTTATTTGTCCTACAAAGCCTACTAATGTACAATGTCATAGGCCTACTGTTGAATGCGTTTTTAGTGGTTTGACAGTAGTGAATAAAGTAGCCCAACACACATTTTTGTTACAAATATATCTTGCAGAGTATTAAAAAAGTGGGTTTTGGATTCAGTAAAGCTACACCCAGATAGCAGACACTCATTGAATTAACATGAATCAACATTTGAAATGTTAAAACTTGAATTTACATGAGGATTGCCTACTTAAATAATTTTTTTTTAAATAATATAAGCATACGGTGGCCAAACGTGCTGCAATTACAAAACACCAGCAAATTAAGAAAAGTACCTCATTGGTTTGACTAATGTCAAAACGTGTTATGTGTTGCAAATCCTCACAAACACTTTGCATTTTTACAAACAAAATAAATGTGCTGTATTTTCACAAGCAGATAGCAAGGATCACAAGTGAAATGTTTCAAGGGGACCTAAAAAAGTATTATTGTACTGTGACTATTGCTCAGTGAAGTTGTAGGTAAACTTTGAAGGATGAGTTTATTTTTGTTGGTTTGTTTTAACATCCTGATTACACGATTCTCTTTCCTGACAGCATACCTTCATTGAATCAACTGTTGAAAAGTTGAAACTTTACCACTGACTTTTTTTTTTTTTTATCAGGTACATCCTCAAATAATGTGATCATGAATCCATAACATGTATGCATTATAAATGTATTTAGAGTAGCTGATCATCTCTATGTTGTTAAGGTGATATCAGTCCTGCACTTTCGACCTCACCCTGGTTTCATTTCATTTCATCGTTACAGACTCATGCTTGAGACCACACATGGCACCAAATCCATTTTTCTGTGAACTGCACACCCACCATGTCTAAAGTCTACCTCAGATCCAATCCTCAAAGCGGCTTTTTGTTGCTGTAAGGGTAGTGAGGGCTGTGTGTTTTTTTTTTCCTTCGGTCCAAAGTCTTGAAGGCCATAGGAGGGCATATAATTCAATCCTTGCCCCGAGACAAGGCACACAACTAATATACTGTGAGTATCAGTGATGCTCGCTCATATCTGCCTGTAACATGGCATGTAATCTAGTTTTAAAAGATTTGCACTTGACTTACATTTACAACAGTTTGTAAAAAGCAGGGGATCGAGAAATTATAGATGAAGTCAATTTAAAGTGGGCATGAAACAAGAATTGCTATCGCCTCTTTGTTCTGTATTATGATGTATGTGAAATGGCTTCTCAAACTGAGAAGTATAATGTAGCATGAGACTTGATTTTGACCATTGGGAATTGAATGGAACATTTATTTTCACTAACTTCTAAAATTAATTTTTTACTGACATATTTATAGAGCAAAAGTTTTGCTGTACTCATGTCGTGTTGTAATTAGTAACACAATCCCACTTTATATTAGGTAGCTTAATATATTGGTAAAACTTTACAATAAGGTTAAGTTGTTAATGCATTTACTAACATGAACTAATCATGAACAACACATGTACAGCATTAATAAATCATAATTGAACATTTACTAATGCATTATTAACATCCAAGTCCATGCTTGTTAACATTAGTTAATGCAACATGAGTTAACATGAACTAACCATGAACTACTGTATTTTTATTAACTAATGTTAACTAACATGAACAAATACAGTATTAAATGTATTGTTCATTGTTCATGTTGGTAAATGCATTAATTAACATTAACTAATGAACCTTATTGTAAAGTGTGACCAATATATTATATATTAATCATTTGGTACAATGTACTGATTGTGTAAAAACATGTTTTGACATTGTACTCATACTTGATTAAATGCATGTATTTAAATACATTGTTATTAATTTCTGTAATTACATTTATAATTACGCTGTTGACCAAACCCTTATGCCTTAACCCATCCCTAAACCTAGTCATTCCATCAACCTGTCCCCAACCTGACTGTCAATAACACCAGAAGTTTTCTGCAAAACAATACCAACAAAGTGAGTACATAGTATTTCTTCTTTGATGTAATTATGTCATTAAGGTCACTTAATATAAACTTAATATAAACTGTACACTTAAGGGGCAAAAGGGGCAAAAACTAAACAAAATTAGATTTTTATAGTGATCCCATAGATCAGGGGTCTCAAACTCAAATTGGTGAGGGCCATTTCAGTGACTGACAAAGGATATGAGGGCCGTTGTAACACTCGTCTTTGAATCAACGGGATACACAAGAAAAAAATAAAAGATATGGTTCAATTCTCTAGTTTCTGTATTCAAATTTTATCATGGATGGAGAGATAGTTTATGTAATAAAACCACAAATGTCTCAGAACAAGTCCTTACAAGGTTCTTTATGTAACTATTGTCAAAAAAAGAAGCTTTATTAGTAACAGTGTGAGTTTGAGACTACATGTGACAAAAGCATTTAGTGCCGTTGTCCTCAAACTCAGAATTGTACACTCTCAGAAATAAAGGTACTAAGCTGTCACTGGGGGTGTACCTAAAGGGTCCATTTCAATACCTTAAGGGTACATATTTAAAAAGTACAAAGTGTTCTTAAAAATTTTAGGTATTAGTATATACTTCTGAGGTACCAACATAGACCCATTAAAAACAAATGTGTACCTTATGAAAAGGTACCACCCCAGTGACAGCTCACTTACCTTTACTTCTAAGAATGTACATACGGCACCTATAATCACCTATATAGCAGCTAAATTAATTAAAAGATGGTAAAGATGGTCTCTTCTACATTTTTCTAGTGTCAATTACAATGTGAACTCTTTTTATTGGTAGGCTAAGCAAGGCATAACAGTGATATATGATATTTTAACAACATCAAATATTTTACAATGTATAACAATAATGTATTCATGAGATTTAATTAAAAAATTATTAAACCCCACCCACTCTTTAATAATTTAAATTCAAAACATACCTTTAATTAAAACCAAATTACAAGACAGACTAAATAAAATCCAATAATTGGTAATTTGCCGTTTAAAGTTAAATTATGAATAATGTCTGTACAAAGACAAAAAGAAAAGCAAGAAGAGGAAGACAATTATGTTAGACTAATTGCTGGGTTTTAAAAAGAACGAGAGGGTGATTGAAGAATATACTTGTATTTTATTCTCACTGATGTTTATGTAACAGCCCCGCCTCGTTTCCACCCCTCTCAATGTGTGTTGGAGGGACTGAGATTGTCCCTCAGTGGATGCTGAAGGTTACCGCGTGCGGAAAGCGCGCGCTCAGATGCTGCGCTCGCACGCGCTGCTCAGACTTCGCCTGGACTCAAGCGGATATGCGCTGCGCCTGCTAAGTGTAGTTTAACACCTCCACAAAATCAGGAAAAGCGTACTTACCTCATGTTCACCTTCTTTTAATCATCACAATGAAATTTCCCCATGGAATTAGTCGCGTTTGCCGGTTTACATTGGCTGTTTTCACCCGTGGAGCTGTAATTGAGACAGAAGAGGAATACAGTTACAGTCGCTCGGATGGACAAGTGTATCCGATGGAGAAAAGTGGATTTAAAATATAGGGAACGGGATACTTCCGCTCTTTGGATGAAAGTTGCGGTTTGAAGGTACAGAAAGGCATCTTCTTTCATTTGTGAGCTAGTTATTTTTGCTCACGAATAATTAGAAAGCACAGTAGAGCTGTTAATTAGCATGTTTTCGTTGATGCTGACACTTTCAGACAAACTTTATTCCACTGCGTGTAAGGTAAAAAACAAGTTGTTGTTTCAGATTACTACTGTATTTAAAATGCTCTGGTTGTAATCTTCTGCAATTAATTCACCCGCGAATCAAAGTGACAAAATTGCTCTAATTTATGCGTAGGATGGTGATGTGTGTTGTCACACAGAGACAGAGTATTAGCCACCCTGTTTATTTTTTCCTCCAATTTCTGTTTAACAGGGAGAAGATTTTTTTCAACACATTTCTAAACGTAATAGTTTTAATAACTCATCTCTAATAACTTATTTATTTTATCTTTGCCATGATGACAGTGAATAATATTTGACTAGATATTTTTCAAGACACTTCTATACAGCTTGAAGTGACATTTAAAGGCTTAACTAGGTGAATTAGGTTAACTAGGCAGGTTAGAGTAATTAGGCAAGTTATTGTTTGATGATGGTTTGTTCTATAGACAAAATATAGCTTAAAGGGGCTAATAATTTTTACCTTACAACAGTTTAAGAAAAATAAAATCTGCTTTTATTCTAGCCGAAATAAAAAAAAATAATTCTCCAGAAGAAAGAAATATTCTCAGACATACTGTGAAAATGTTCTTGCCCTGTTAAAAATAAATGAGGAAATATTAAAAAAAGAAGAAAAAAAAATCAAAGGGGGCTAATAATTCTGACTTTACCTGTACATATACAACACACTGTACACACTGAAGATAAATAGCATTGTAGATATTCATATAGTACCCTGTTTAGCTAAAGTCTCCAAGTGACAATAAATAACCCCAACCTATATCCCTAACTTTAACCTAATCCTTTGGAGTTGTGAATGCAAATTTCATTAAAACAGCTTGTACATATTCACAAAATAAATAAATTAATGAATAAATGAAACTGTCAAATGCTTTACATTTTTAAAAATAAAATTTAAAAACATAATAAAGCAAAAAAAAAAATGATAATGGGGGTATAGATATGTTTCATGTGTTAGAAAACATAACATTATAAAACAAATTAGTATGCATGAGCTGTTATCATTGTTTATCAATGTAAACTAATTAAATTCAAAATATTAATGATGTTACTTGATGAGACTATTATTCATACAAATAGTAAAGATGTATAAAACTAATAATTAATAAGAATAAATATTTTGTCTTTTCAATATTTAACAAACAAAAACTTACTGTAAAGTGTTGCCACACTAAATATTAAAATAAATGGAATGAACCTGATTCTTAGGTTTGATTCAGCCTGAATGTACATACACTTATAGTACAGATAAATACACATTCTCAGTTGTTCAAATTCAAAATCTCATAAAAAACACAATCACAAACACTGGTTCACTGGCTGATATAGGACATAATGAAAAAGCATGATTTATTTGAGCTGTGATGCATGTTTCTTTCTCTGCAGGGAGTGTCAACTCTGAGACAGCTTTCATGATCAAAACTGACACTGAGAAGGCTAAAGAGGCAATTATGTGGAAAAACCAATAAGTGGTGGTCCCTTTACACAAGGCTGGGTTACATTAATGATTGTAGTGTTTTGGGGTTATTTCCCCAAGCAAAATGCATATTTTACCATGTTGTACGGCTTAAGTGACGACATATTGCTATAGCAGTTCTGCCGTCTAACAGTTGTTCATTTACTGGACGTGGCGTAACTGTCGACGAGGCGATGCTGAGACCCTGAGTGATGTTGCATTCAAGGTGCGGCAAGTTCCAAGCATTCTTGCCTCCGTCTTACATAACTTTCTGATTTACATCACATGGGCCAAGGCATTGTGAATTGACCAATGTGATTTGTTTATATTTAATTTGCTATATACTACAATTTGATAAATAGCCTGACATTTTCATTAATTTTTTATGTCATATAAAAAATATATAGTCCCATAAATTTATGCACTGATACAACACAAATGTATGTATATCATTATATCATATATATATATATATATATATATATAATTAAAAATATAATAAAAAAATAATAAACATTCAAACTGCTAGAATGTAGAAAAATACCGTAAGTAAATATGTGCTCTGGCAGTAATAAAACTAACAAATCATTCTTTTAATTGGATTGGATTAAAAATTATGTTATTGCATTGGTTGAAGTTGAAGTTATAACCCAGCCGGCAGAGGACGTCAACATGACGTCAGATTGACGTTTTTTCTTAACGCAATGGGGATGTTGCATTTTGCATGGAAATGAAAATCAGGTTGACGTCAGAACCCAACGTCAGACTGACATCAATGTCCAACGTCCAACCTAAAATCAACCAAATATTAACGTCTAATGATGTTACAGCTTGACGTTGTATGGATGTTACCAGTATGACGTCTATCAGACATTGGATTTTGGTTGCCATACCAGAAGAATAAATGTCAGTATTTGACATTGGTTTAAGATGTTGGCTCAATTTTGGATTTTGGACACTTTCAATAGAGTATATGCAGAGCTAGAGTTTCTTCACATAGCAATATACTTCTGTTGGACGGTTAATGTGACTTTTCAAATTTAATACAGTTCCTTTTAGAGCATCGATATTGTAATGTAGTTAAAATATAATCAGTTAAATAGACTTCAGCATTCATTTAGCATTTAAGTGTAAACCGAGATGAAAAGCTGTTTACATGCACGCACCCGTCAGGATCAGCAGGCTAGCGCAATGCCATTGGAAATACTGAAGTAAAATTAATTTAAATACTTTAAAGACATGGGGCAGAAAAAATGTTATTTAATGCAGTGCCTCTTGTACATTCTGAGACCCATTTTATACTGTATATCATTTCAAGAGTTCACACTTAGCTGATAATCAATAAAGCGTGTTTGGCATGCTGTCCCGGGAGAGAGCCCTGAGCTCGTAATATCCTCGAGCCCGGGGCTCCCTCCCGTTAGAAGGGCGAGAGGGGAATTCGAGGTCAGGTAGGTCTCGAGAACTCCCCTGCTTGTCACCGTGAGAAGTGTAAACTCAGGTTGTATTGGGTGATAATTTGTTTTAGTCGATTGCTATGGTTTATGTTTTTGGACGGTGGGAGGAAACCGGGGAACCCGGGGAAAACCCACGCGAACACGGGGAGAACATGCAAACTCCACACAGAAACACCAACCAGCCCGATGGGTTGGACTAGCGGTGTTCTTGCTGTGAGGCAACAGTGCTAGCCACTGGGCCACCGTGTCGCCCGATCAGAAAAAGTGGGAGGATGTAGGGGTGGAAGGGGGGGAGCTTCAAGACGAAGATAACTGGAGTGGAAAACTCAGGTTATTTATAATGCTTCCGTAATCATCTAATAGGGCTGATTACGGAGCTAACAAGGAGCCAGCTGTGTTGATTATAAGCACGTGATCCTCTCGAAATTAGTTTATGAATAAACCACACTTAGGTAGTGAAGATTGTTAATTTTGAAAGAAAAAATAACTTAAAAGTATAGATTTTGTAACAGCAGTTCACTGGAAGCGTTTGACCCAGGTTACTGACAAGTTAAAAGTCATTCTGCATGCTTCTGCATATACCCTATACAACCTACAATCAACCAAAGAGCAATTTCATTTGTTGCAGGATGTGAAAATAACGTTATCCTTAGACACTGGCTATACATAAAATTTTGGTTACCTGATGTTACAATCTAAAGCTAGCCTATTATTATCGTCTTATGACGTTGTGTGCCTGCTGGGAACAATATGACCATTATCAGTTTGTAGCAGTAAATGAAAAGTATCATATAGATCCAAAGTTGGATACAGGGTACCCAAAGGTTCAGTATCCGGATCTTTTCACATCGTATATGCTTCCCCTTGGAAGAGCATAAACATCACATTGCCTTTTTATTTTAAAGGCAAAAATAAGTAATTCAAATATAACTCATTGTACAGGCTTTCACAGACAATACTGGAAGCGAGGAAATGTCTTGTTTTGTTACAGTTGTTCACAAATTTCTTAAATTCTTACACATCGCTTTGAGATAAAAAGGACAATGTACAGATTTAAGGGGCTATACGAACTTCTCTAATCTATTATTATGGCAAGCAGACCTTTGTTCAGAGTGTGATATAATTTAGGTGGCCAGAATAGGTTCATTTGTCTTGAAATGCAAATTAATTTCATCCATTTCCTCGTTATAGCTGTAATAAATTTTGTGCTGAGCTCATACGAATTCTGAAAACCTGCTAGATATGCAAGGAAAAAAAAAACATTGCTCACTGTGCAGTTTGCTTATTTTGTCAATTTGCAGAGACAGTATATACTACGAGCCCTCTTGTTGTGATTTCACAAAACACTCTCACCTCCCTGTGTCCACTTATCATTTAGCTGATACTGCTTATGTTTCTGTCTGTATTCTTGGACGTTGTACAAGGGAAACAGTAGGTAGGGAGGAGACTTCTGTCCTAGTTAGTCAAGTCACATCCAGAGTTCAAAGACAGGCTTTTCAGGACAGCTGTGCGAATGATCACCCATAAATAAAGGATAGACTTTACACAGTGTACCATGCAGTGCAAGGCCACGGCCCTGTGGTTTCTAGTCAAAGCTACTGCTCAGGTGTTCCAATAAGAAATTGATTTTTCATGCCAAAACTTAGCGGGACATGCTGTGCAATCTGGTTGATGTGATAAGACACAGCTCAGAATGAAAAAACATGTGAGTGAAAAAAAAAATACTGGATTTCCTTCATTAAATAAGTCTTGTGTTTTGGTTCTAGGGTCTCAGCTTGGCTTCAACCATCTGATGGAAGTCTTCACAGCGTATGCCTTTAATGAAAGCTTCTTTGAAAATGCATCACGGGACTTCAATGCCACGGAACAAGGGGGGCGGCACCAGTACAATTACTACGCTATGCTTCTCACGCTGCTCATTTTTGTCATTGTCTTCGGCAATGTGCTGGTGTGCATGGCCGTGTCAAGGGAAAAAGCTTTGCAGACCACCACCAACTACCTGATAGTCAGCCTGGCTGTGGCTGATCTGCTGGTTGCCACGCTTGTTATGCCATGGGTGGTGTACCTCGAGGTAGGTTTACCGCTCTCTGTTTGGGACGCTAAAATGATTTAACCCATAAATCAGCTGTGGTATGTAATCATGCGAGGATGGATTATTCTCATCTGATTAGATAGTAAATTATTTTGCCGTCTTCCACATAACTCATTTAAATCAATCTGGGCTAGAATTAAGGAAGAAGAGCTGCAGGCACCAGTGTCTTAAACCTCATTCAAGCCAATCAATTTGCAGTAGCCACTAGCGCATGTCTAATTCAAGAAAATCTGATCCTAGCCATGGGTTAGTATTTATTTTCAACCTAAAGAAGCCTCCTTGTGCATGACACTGAACCATACATATAGCAAAGGTATCAGATTGCAAGCAAAATCCATAGGCTGGAAAGTACATGCAGACATGAATCTGGACTTTTTTTGTGAATGTGAGCTGGTTGAGAGTGTGATTTTTGGGGAATAGGTCAAAAGTGGCTCTACAAATGAAAGCATGTCTATTTTACAGCATTATTATAACTCCCCATATTAAATTAGAGTTTGATATCTAGTGTGGTTTTTCTTTTTCGTTTTTCTTTTTTGCTCCTAAAGGGCAGCGCTGAGTAATTGCATTCTCAGTCAATGGCTAAGATCATAATTTATTTAGTTTGAATCATTTATACGCATAAACAGAACATTAAAGAGTGCTACTGTGAGAAGATTGAAATGAAATGTTGTTACATAGAGCAGTCTGTTTATTGACTTCATAAAATTGCTCTTGGTATGTTGCAATATTAAAGTCCTCAGTATTTTTATTAGGTCTGATGAGATCATTTTTTCTCACTTTAAAATGAGTCATGAAAATAACCCAATTATCATAGCAAAAAAAAAAAAAAAAAACAATATAAGCAAGTGCTTGATTATTATTTATATTATATTTTTGCTTGATTGGTTGTGCCAAGTTCTTGATTTAAGAAATAGAAACCTTTCACTTTTCACTAATTTGAATTGAATTGGCCACATCATAAAAGAAATATCGACTGTAAATGCAAATTCAGATAAAAGAGGATTTCATGAGTGCTCAACTCGGGTTTTGTGAATGCATAAATTATTACAAAATTAACTTAATGTCCATTGATTTGTAAGATATACAATCACTTTTTTTACAATGTATTTTGCACCACATCGTTTTTACGTTTGAGACCAAAATATAAATTTGAAAAAAAAAGATTTGTTTTCATTGACTTATTTCTCCAGTATGAGACTCTAGAATCTATATCTGCCAAAAAATATGTCAACGTCAATGTTATTTATATAGCACTATTAAACACACCCAGAGGTTGACCAATGTGGTGCATAATAAACATCACAACAAAGATTATAGCCAGAACAGACAATTTTCAATGATAAAATGCCAAATTAAAGGGGTAAGTTTTCAACCTAGATTTAAAAACAGACAAAGATGAAACAGATCTAAAACAGAGAGGCAGAGCATTCCACAACCTAGGACTAGCTATTGCGAAAGCACGGTCACCCCTGTATTTCAGCCTCAACTCAAGGATGCATAACAATCTCTGGTTATATGACAGAAGAGACCAGGCTGATGCTGATGCTCAATCATGTCTGACAACCAAGAAGGTGCTAGTCCATTTAAAGATTTAAAAAACAAGAGAAGAATTGTAAAAGTGACTTGATAGTGAACAGGCAGTGCAAAGAGCATAAAACTGATGTAATGTGGTTATGTTTTTGGTACCAGTTAAAAGCCTTGCAGCAGCATTTTAACATAACTGTAAACAGGATAAGTCTGACTAATCCTAAAGTATAGTCACTTACAATACTTACAATACCAAATACAAATGCATCCTTATAAACAAAATATTTTTACTCACATTTAACAACAATACTTCTTGTACTGTAACTGTCTGCTCCTCCTGAATTAATTGGTGCTAAAAGAATCATACAGTATGATGTATTAATTGTCTCACTCAAACACAGATAGTTTGTTGGTTGATGGATTCTGGATATATTTCATTTATTTTAAAGTACATTTTTACTTTTTCAATCTTTATATGTTCTCCATTATGTTTTTCTTTTTCGAATAAAAGTGTGTAATGTGGCTGCAATTGTCTCCCAATTGAAAGAACCAATTTTGAAAAGGCCTAAAGTGAGCCTTCAATAATTCTAGCTTTAGTTCCTGCACAGACCCACATACTGTAAATTTGTAACAAATTTGGATAATTGCAGGCTATGGTCTTCTTTGGATGTACACAAACAATGTCTAATTTCACCCTCAAACACTATATTTGCTGCTGAGACTTGAAAGAGTTTGTATAATCAATGTGTCAAGGCGGCTCTTTTATTCTGCTTTGCAAAACAAATTCATTTTACACAAATTTGGTAAAGACAACAGCATCGATGCTCATAGTGTTTATAAGTGATGATGAGGAGAGCTGAATTTCCGATATGGTAATGAGTGTTTGGTTTGTGACACAACTGTAAGCAGTAGACCAATCGCAAAAGACTGGACCATCTGACTAATCAGAGCAGAGCAAGCACTTTAAGGTTTAGGGCGGATGCACACTGTGGGATTTTTGCTGTCGTACAAGCTTACATGCGTTAATTTTTTCTCAATGGGTGTTCTTCATGCCTCGTATTATTATTACACTTATGAGAGAGAGAGAGAAAGAGAGAGAGGTTCAGAAAGCAATGAAAATAATGTCTGTCCATGTTTTTGCTGGAATTTCTTGTGATTGCTATAACACAACAAAGAAGGTACACAATTGGGAAATCAAACAGAGGGGAGGATTTAACTGCTTTTATTGATTCAACGTGACTATTAAACACAACTGTGGAATCATCTCACATATTGATTAATTTCAAACACTTGACTGAAGTTATGAGGGGAGTAAAAACATGTTTTAAATGAGTTTTCACAGCATTTCAAATCAGTGGCAACACAGAGCTGTAGTTCACTAAAAAGGGATGCAAATCTCAAGCCGCCTTTCCACTGCACACGACAAGCAACAGACCGGAAGTCGTTCAGAAAATGCAGAAAATTTGGATTCGATTTGAGCTGCAGATCCGTTAAAATATTTTAACTCCGTCAACTAGACCGTATGTGACTGGCCGACCAGATGTGATGTATTCCAGTGTTTTACAGGCAGATCCATGAGTGCGAGATGAGAAAAAGGTTTTTTTCTCGTTATTTTTAGAATCAGAAAAAAAGTTGATATTAAAAAACATTTCTATTTATAAATGAATAATACATTTTACATTTTTTTTGTTGTCACATTCCCTCCAACATTTTTAGTGGTCTATGAGTTTCTTTTATTCATTCATTCAACTGTGGTAAACGAATGGAGAATAATGGCTCCTGCTTTTGCACTCCTTCATTTCGGACACCACAAAAAACCAGCTTCTGGATTTTTTCTGGTGCATGACAAAACTGAAAGTTCTGTGCAACTGCCACAAGGGGGCATATTCCGACGTTTATGTACAAATGTCGTGTGCAGTGGGAAGGTTGCTTGAGAATAGCCCCTTTCACACATACAGACCTTTCCGGAAAATTACCGGCAATTTTCCGGAAAGGTTGTATGTGTGAACAGGCCCTTTTTGAAAATACCGGTAAATTCGTTCTGGCTATTTTCCGGAAAGAGAAGTTGTAACATTACCGGTAATTTGCCGGAATGCTGCACTGTGTGAATGCAGAAGGAAGATTGCCGTAATAAGCGCGTCCACGTCTAGAACGGGCTGACGTGAGACACCTGCTTTAGCCAATCAGAACAGTCAGACGCATTCACGTGCGCGCGGTTTAGGAGAATAAAAGCCTTTGAATATTTTTTCCAGACACCTTTAGCTGCTAGATGTTAGTCAGATAATGTTTCTATGTTCCTTCTTTATGCTGTGTAAATAATTATCGATAAAATGTTCATGATAATCCGTTGTTTGTTTACCTTTAAGCTTTGCGTGTGCCCGTGAGCGCCCATAGAGCCAGCACACACACATATCATGAACATCTCGACATGCGAAAGTTTTTTTCTATGTTTTCATTAGAGTTGTACTCAGTACTGATCCATCGGAAGAGTTTGTAATGTATTAAAATGTTTACAAACACAAGCGCAGCTGTTTAGAGGTCATTTCTGGTTAATGATGTCAGAATTTACCGGCATTTTGCGATGGATGTGTGAATGCTCTTTTCCGGAAAAATTCCGTAACGTCCTCGCCTGTGTGAACAGCGCTTTTTTGAATATACCGGTAAAGTAGTTCCGGAAATTTTCCGGATATTTACCGGTATCACTGTGTGAAAGGGGCTAATGACTCATTGTTTTCAGAATCTCGGTAATGAAAGGTTATTGCACACTGAATTCGAAATTTTCCTCCATAATTTTCGCACGTTAAAAAATAAATTCAACCTCACGTTGTGTGAATCATATTAACACTTTGCCTTTAAAACTTTCATCCATCATAAAAAAATTCAAACCAGGTTTGATTTTTTTTTGATTTTCACATCTGAAAAAGCGCTTTGTTAGGTGTTTTGACAGTTCAGAGCCACCATACAAGCGAAAAGCTAAATACAGAATGCCGTCATTCAAGCTATAGATTATGTTATGCACTGTGTTTGTCATAAAGTTAAGACAGAATGTGGCGGACTGTTGAGAACCCCTAAATGCTATATTCTGAGAGGCGCACCTCTCCCCTGCTGCTTGGTGTGTGTGTCCATACATTTGGCGTGCTGCCCATAGACATTATAATAGAAAGCATGGTCTGCTTTCAGTTCATTGTTTCGACACGTCAATGCGGCTACCATCTAATGTCTGTAGGTACTGCCAATCTCTGTTCAGGATTTGTTTACAAATGTGAAAGTGTGACGTATCAAAAGCAATGTATCACAATTCCACCGATTTCCTGCTCTTTGATTATTAGCTAAACTCGCCTTCCTCTATGCAGTATTTGATGAACTAAATATGTTGCCTATTCCTCTTTCTTTTTCTACTTTTGAGACAACAAAGTATGACTGCTTGAACTGACTCCGAGATGTTTCGCGTTTTTTCACAATGGATTAATTTATTTATATCGTCCTCAGTGTGCAAGGTCTGCTCACATGACAAATCTTTAGCATATGAATCCGAAAAAGAATGCATGCCAAAATTTCAGACTTCATTGTGCAAAGACTGCGTGTTAAATCTTTTGCACTATGAACTATGTCTCTGTTTAGTAAACACTGCTCCATCTGAAAGCAGCGGCTGATCACAGAGCCAGTTTTACAGCCAAAATGCGCATGAATATTCGCCTTCGATAAATTACCCAGCCCTAATAAACTCACTCAAGATGTGTGTGTGGACTTCTGACAATGAATTCACACTGTGTATGGTGTGTATTAGAGACTGAAACCTGCAATGAACCATTTTACCTTACCTACCTTGCCTTATTTCAGACACAAAGAATTTGCAGTGTATTTCTCTGAGAAAATGAAAGTGCTTTTTCACCTTGGATGGATTTAAATTATAAAAGACCTCCAAAACAAAATTAGGATCCTATAAAATAGCATCACTTTTTATTAAATTCATTAAATCCAATTTCGCTTCATGCCACATAACTCTGATCAGCTTTTTCTATGCGCTCTAATTTAAAAAGTTTCTCTCTCCTAAGCTTGTTGCGTGGCTCTCTCTTTCTCTCTCGTACTCCCTCTATTAGTGCAAGGACGTGTTTTGATCACCGGCGATGTCTGAGAATGATAGTGGTGAGACTCATTTCATCAGACTTTAGAGATATGGTGATGAACTGATTCCGGCAACTCACAGCCGCTTTCATTAGAGGTGTCAAATAATTCTTTAATCAATGACAGGGATGCAAACTCCAGAGGCAGGAACCTAAGACCATCAAGAGGTTTCTCAGTCCCTCGGCTTGCCTGAGGACACACATTAATCAGAGCCCGCTCAGAAAGCTCTGCCAGCGAACTCAGGAGATGCAAAGCGTGGACGAGGCTGACCTGTGCTATATTGCCTTGCTTTGCCAGTTTGATCACATAAACCAGAGAAAATGCCAATATTTTATTGCTTTAAACATTATTATAGTAGCTAAAGCTGTAGCAGATCGACTCGCAGGCCAGAGAAGCAGGTGCTTGTGCTGTTACCATGGATATTTTTAATTGAAAGATGTTAGTCAGACTCGGAGCACTTCTGGCAAGTAAATGACTTTGCACATTTGCAGGCAAAGAGCACAGGTTTGTGTTCAGATGAGTTGTTCTACAATTAGCGGAGGGTTTAGTTATTGGTGTCTGTCCTCGCAGGTGGTGGGAGAGTGGCGCTTCAGCACAATCCACTGTGACATCTTCGTCACCCTGGACGTGATGATGTGTACAGCCAGCATACTCAATCTATGTGCCATCAGTATCGACAGGTGGGTGTTTCTGCATTGCCAACACAGGACTGGTCGAATGCTGAGCGAGACGTAATTTGGTTGCTTAGCTCAAAAGAGAGACCTACTCAGCTTTTACACACCTGAAAATAAACCAGATTTGATGCTGTTGCTGTTGTTATATATAGCGACATTCGAAACAAAGCTTTTCAAAGCTCTGACTCAACTGAGCCAATTGCTTTGTAAAATGATTCACTGTTTCAAAGAGCTGAAAACACCACATGCTGATCAAAACTTTGCACATATACATATATATATATATATATTACATGTTATTCCATGTTAGACCATTGTTCATCTTCAGAACACAAATGATGATATTTTGGATTAAATGCAGGAGCTGATACTCCATACAGCCCAATCGTCACAACTTGTTCAAAGAAAAATACCCTAAATATCCTCAAAATTGTTCAGTGGTTCAGTCAGAATATTAAAAAGCTAGAGAATACTTTTGTGCAGATTTAAAACAAAAATATCTACGATTTTATTAATCAGTATCTTCTCCTCAAGGTCAGTATAGGGTGCACTGATATAAACCCCTCGAATCCTCATGACCTCCACTGTATGAAACAAACGTGCACAAAAAAATACTTTCATAGCTTTATACTATTCTGATTGAACCATTAATGGTTTTTTTAACCTCTTATGAGCATTGCTGTCTATGGAGACTGATGGAGCTCTCCTATTCATCTAAAATATCTTAATTTGTGTTCTGATTTGAAACAACATAAGGGTGAGTAATTAGTAACAATTTTACTAATAACAATAACAAAATAAACTAATTTCAAGAAGATCACATGCTTATGATGGTCCATTGCTGGTTCTGCATTAGCTAAATCATTCACCAATCGGATGATTCATAACTCACTATAAATACCCAGAGTTTCTTACTTTAGAATCTTCTTTTTGAAGAATACCCCCTCCCACCCCTACTTCCCCTCCTTTTTAGATCGGTGACAAGGTGGCCCAGTGATTAGTACTGTTGCCTCACAGCAAGAATGTCACTGGGTAAAGTCCCTACTAAGTCAACATTTCTTTGTGGAGTTTGCTTGTTTTCCCTGTGCTTGCGTGGGTTTCTCCTAGGTTCCCTGGTTTTCCTCCCACAGTCCGAGATACATACATATACATATTTATAACTTCAAGCATGGATAAAAACAAAATAATTGCATTTAAGAAATCATGAAATACCAGTCAATATGAAGTTTCCATATGACTTGGGTTGGGGGGTATACAGAGATAAATCAATATATTTTTCAAGAGTTCACACTTAGCTGATGATTGATGATAGAGCTTGTTTGGCATGCTGGCCTAGGAGAGAGGCCTGAGCTTATAAGATCCTTGAGCCCTGGGCTCCTTCCCATTAGCAGGGCATGAGGGGAGTTTGAGCTCAGGTAGATTTCAATTAACTCCCCAGACTTGTTTCTGGCTAACGAAAGATATAAGGGTGGCTAAAGAAAGATATACGGCTTACTAAGAGCTCGACTATGATGCCAATTGGAACTGTTCAATTTACAGTACTTAGGTTGTGTGTTTTTGGACTGTGGGAGGAAACCAGGGAACCTGGGGGCTCAGTAGAGAGTTTAGCAGTGACATTCTTGCTGTGAGGCAATAGTTATAATCACTGGGCCTCCGTGTCACCCAATCTAGAAAGGGGGGAGGGGGGCGGTGGGTGGTGGGTATTCTTCAAGACGAAGATACTGAGGTAAGAAACTCTGGTTATTTATAGTGAGTAGGAAGTCTGAAACTTCACTTTAAAAAATATTGTTACTGTTTTAATGTAGGGATGTTGTAGGGAAATGTTGTATATCAGAATAGTATAAAGCTATGAAAATATTTTTTGTGCACAAAAAGTAAAAATAATAACTTTTATCAGATACTCAGATGTGCCTGTGCTTTGTTTCAAACAGCGAAGATCACGAGGATCCAGGGGGTTTGTATCAGTGCACAGTGCTTGTGAACACGCACCCTATACTGACACCTGGGAGAAGATACTGATGAATAAAGTCAATATTCTTGTTTTACATGTGCACAAAAATATTCTTTAGCTTTATAATATTCTGACTGAACTACTAAAGACACATAGACAATTTTGAGTATATTTATGGTATTTTTCTTTGAACAAGTTAAGGTAAATGGTGTATATGGACGATCAGCTCTTGCATTTAATCTAAATTATCGTCATTTGTGTTCTAAAGATAAATGATCTAAAGATGATGATGGAAAGTTCACACAAAAGTGACAATGTTGTCAACATTTAATCGTCATTGACTTGTTTCAAACCATAATGAGTTTCTTTCATTGTTAAAGAACAAAATAAGAAATTTTGAAGAACGCTGAACCCTGTAACTATTGACTTGTATATAATATGCTTCCTACTATCAAAAGGTCTATGGTTACAGGCAGGGCTTGACGTTAACTTTTTTGATCACTAGCCACTTTGGCTAGTAGATTTCCAATATTGCTAGCCACTCGCCATTTTCACTAGCCTCAATTTTATTGGTGGGAAAATACACTTTTAAATGCATAAATTGGTTTCCCAGAGATGGGTTGCAGCTGGAAGGTTATCAGGTGCGTAAAAAATGTGCTGGATAAGTTGGCGGTTCATTCCACTGTGGTGACCCCGGATTAATAAAGGGACTAAGCTGAAAATAAAATAAATGAATGAATACATAAATTTGATTATGACATGCTAAAATTACAACTGACCCAGCCGAAGCTCGAACCAGCGACCTTCTTGCTGTGAGGCTACTGCCACTGCACCACTGCGTCACCCTTTTGTGTTATGTCCACATTCATTTAATTTTCTTGTGTGTTGTGTATGACCTTAATCAATGTGCATGAGCAAATGGGTTGTGGTTTCTTATTGTTGCACTGCAATTAGTTTTTATTTCACATGACTTTCAAGGCTCAAAATTAAGGATTTACCATTAATTATTTAATTTATCCCTAACCATACCAAAAATAATTATTGTCATGTGTCTAAAACAAACAAACCAGTTAACTAAATGGGAAGTTAATTTCCTATTAAAACAATCGCTTTTTAAACAGTCTCGCACATCACCTTTGCACGCGCAAATTATCGTCCTCTCATTCGGTACTCACCTGCTTTCTTTTGGTCATGTGAAGTTTTTTTTTTAAACTCTACGATCACATTTGCACGCATACTGGGCCATCTTTTTTGTTGAACCCTGCTTTTATGAAAACTACAATTTAAAAATTATTTGGAACCAGCCAAAGTGGCTAGTATAAGCGAATGTCTTATACCAGCCACAGCTGAAATCTACCCGCACTTGTATACAGGTATACAGCATTCTTTAAAATACCTTCTTTTGTGTTTTACCGAAGCAAGAAACTCATAATGATGTTGAAACAAGTCAAGGGTGAGTAAATGATGACAGAATTTTAAATTTTTGGGTGAACTATCCCTTTAACAACCATCAGGTGAGCAAATATCAAAAAACTACAAATGAAAAAAATACAAATGGTCTATTAACATACAATATTTACAGTTTGCTGTTGGACGAACAAAGCTTCGCTCATTGAAATCATAGCTTTGCCAATTTGATGAACACTCCAAACCCCTATTGTATCAAATGATTTACAGTGGTTATGGAGCTTCACAAAGCAGCACTTCAAAAGCTCCCATCGCTAGTTATATATAGACAACAACATCAACTTCCTTGTACCCCGTCACCTAAATAAGCTCAAAATAGTAAGGAATACTTGTAAGATCGATAGTGGTTCATGCTAGACGTCTCCTTCATTTATATAGCAAGTAATTAGATACTAGAAAGAAAGACCTCAGTGGATAATCAGAGGTCATGGGAAACACCAGTGTATTGTGTTGTACATTATATCACATGAATACAGGCATACCTGTTAATTGTGCAGAGACATGAAGACATATATAACGAGACAACAAACAACTCATTTTTGTTCTGTATCTCCACAGGTACACAGCTGTAGCCATGCCTATGTTATATAACACACGCTACAGCTCCAAGAGGAGAGTCACCGTCATGATTTCTGTGGTCTGGATTCTGTCTTTTGCTATATCATGTCCACTGCTGTTTGGACTCAATAATACTGGTAAATATGGGGGAACTATTTACTTAATCTGGGCTGTCAGTCAATCTGTTTAAAAGTCTGAACTAAATTAACTGAATAAAAACGAATACTTTCACTCGAAAAAAAAAAGACAACTAGTTGACCATATCAGGAAAAGCAGTAAAATGCTACACAAATCTTCAGTTTGGTGCTTTTCAAATGACTTTCTATTCATTGAACACATTTGAATTGTAGCAATATTTCACCCAATTACAGTCTGTATTTTAAAATAAAGAAAAGCTTAATGATTGATTTAAAATATATATATATATTTAATTTAAAGTATTTTTTCCGAAAACTGACCTGGAAAATTTGAAAAAAAGTCCAGTTGACTTAACATTGGGTCAAAATGTATGACTTGGGCTAATTTAACTCAGACTACCAATCTGCCAATCACTGATGACCTTTCAACTTACTAGCCACAGCCTAGCAACCACTTACGGCACCCTAGCAACTGTCCCAAAGACTTCCATTGTAAAAAAACTGCCATGGACTTTTCATTGGACATACTAACAACAAACCAATTCATGTTAACAACATACTAACAAAAATACTAGCATACTAATCATACTAGAAACATGCTAACAAATATACTAATCTATAATACCAATATACTAACATTAATCATACTAGAAACCATCTAGCAACACCTTAGCAAACGCCTAGCAACCACTCAAAACACCTTATTAACTGCCTTGCAAGAAACAGGCCAATCCATACTAGAAACATGCTAATATACATGTGCTTATCTATCTTTGCCAGCTGATTCAAACTGCTTAAAACTACTTCAATTATTTAAACTTTAAAACTACTTCAAACTCTCAAACGAGGCTTTCTCAAGCCACCATATAGTTTGTCTACGAACTTTACTTTTCCCATTAATTCTATGCTGTGCTAATTAATTAAACATTTATGTGATTCATTTACATGCATTTGCTGAGAAGTGCCCTTAAATGAAGGTACAGACGTTCAATGATTGTGGCACACGAGTAGAAAATGAGATATTCTTAAAATGAAGATTTAGAAGCAAATTATAAGCTTATGTCCTGCAAAGTATCCACCACTGTTCACTTTGTGTCTTTTATGCATATTCTACAAATGATTTTATAAGGATTATGACAGCTAAACTCAATTTAAGTGGATCTTCTTGGCATACGCTTAAATAAGTAGCTTCTGTTTAGAAATAGTATTATAGTACAATGTAACAGCTTGCTGAATTTACAGAGTACTAGTGTCTTTATTTTTCATGCACACTGGTGTTAGGGGCAGCTAAAATTAAGTTAGGTCACTGCTTCATTTGAAAGTTATGTTAGAGGAAGTGATTTAATCAGCGCTTTTCTGCTTGAATGCACACAGTGGGTGGACGAGGGTCAGGCACTCGTGAGCATGAACAAAACAAATCATAATATAAGATACTGGGAAGATGAGTGTTATAATCTAGACTAGAGGGTTTCAGTCTTTGACATGACTGACCAAATATGATTATTCTCATGAATGGGATCACCATTCTAAACTGTATATTTATAAGTCATTTGTCAAGTCAGTTGGTGTATAAAAACCTGATTTCTGTTATATTAATAATACTATACATGTGTCTGTGTCAGTAGCCTAGAGGTACTGCGCTGACATATACAGTAGCACTATAGTGCTCACGGCAACCCGAGTTTGATTCCCGGCTCAAGGTCCTTTGACAATCCTTCCCTTCTCACTGCTCTCCTGTCTGAATTCTCTACTGTCCTATGATAATAAAGGTGAAAACCCCCCAAAATATGTTTTTAAATAATAATAATGTGTGTCTAAAATATTGTTTTAAAAATCTTTATATTAAGTCACTTCTGTATATATTGTGATAATTTTTATTGTTCATTTGTATTCTAATTTGTATTGGTTTGTTTAATTCTATTTAATTATCCCTTAAAAATGGCATTAATTTAAATATTATGTGATTTTATTATTTTATATATTTTTTAAAAATTTATGAATAAGTTATATTTGCTTTTTTTAATACATTGATACATGAATTGTTTTATTCTATTTAATTGTTCCTTAAACGTTTGCATCATTAATTTAAATATTATGTAATTCTATTATTTTATATTTTTTCATGAATATGTGATATTTGCTTTTTTATACATTTTTGATAAAATATGTATAAATATTTTATTCTAATTAAAATACTTGAATCTTTTATATTCAATAATAAAAAACTATATTAGTTGATGCTTTCTCAGAAAGAAAGGTACAAAACTGGGGCAAAGATTCCATAAACAGACATTTTGGATACCTTTAGGGTATATGTAATGTAATGTAATGTGAAGAATTTACAGCTTTATGTCTAAGTATATCTATAGGTACTATGAGTAACACATTTGTACTTTAAAAATAAATAAATATATAAATAATATAAATAAGTATTATATGTATATATATATATATATATATATATATATATATATATATATAAATATATATTAATGCTAAAGATTACTGTAAACTTGATCTATTTGAGTAATCGAAGCATTTTGAGCTCAGTAAAACCCAATAAATGAAGAGAACTCAAACCAACTTAGTACTGTAAAACCCAATAAGTTGAAGCAACTCAAACCTTTTGAGGAAACTGATTGCTACATCTATACGAGTACTGTGAACGTACTCCATTTAAGTTGAAGTAATGAGGTATTTATAATTAACTCATTACCTTCAACACTGAGTTCAAAATTCTTTTCAAATGAGTAGAATTAACTTTCAGTCAATTTTGAGTTAACTACACTCATTTGACTTGATAAAGTTGGGTTTTACCATGTTCGTAAATCAAGAAACATTTTCTAGACACGTAAAAAATATTGTCTTGTTTTGAAAAATAATGTCCCCAAATTAAGGGAGTTTTACCTTAAAACAAGTAAATTGATCTGCCAATGGGGTAAGAAAAATATTATTGTTTACAATTAAAAAAAAAAAATGTATTTCTTATCCTGCTGTCAGATTATTTAGTTTGTTTAAAAAAAAAAAACTCACTTAATTTTGCCATATTTCTGAAATCAATTTTGCTTGTCTAGAAAACACTTCTTGATTTAAGAATATTTAGATATTCAGACTAGAAACAAGACATAAAATCTAAGTAAGAAAATCATTTTTTGCAGTGTGTTAGTCATAAAAGTGTATGATCTGAAAAGGTATCACCCCTGTGACAGGTTTTGTACAGTTATTTCAGAATGTGAACAGTTATAACTTTGAATGACATTTTCCCTGTATTTTCTATTCCAGTAACCCATGACGATGCTCTCTGTGTGATTGCGAATCCTGCCTTTGTAGTTTACTCCTCCATTGTGTCCTTCTACGTTCCCTTCATCATAACTCTGCTAGTGTACGTGCAGATCTACGTGGTACTCCGGAAAAGACGGAAACGTGTCAACACCAAACGCACATGCCCAGTTACAGACATGGATATGAGCTCGACTATAAAGGTGAGATCAGCTGTTTCATGACTAGTTGTGAAAGTTTGCACTTACTCAGCACTCAAGTAGAGTTTAGTGAATTGGGATTGTTAAAAAAACTGCAGTGTCGATGAATTTCATAGTAATTTGTCAGCGCTGAAATTCCCATCAGCAGTGTAGGAGTAATGAGCAGCTGAATAGAAGTGGATATTAGTACATGCTTGCACATCTGTGAAAATGGAAGTGTGTCAAGAGCGACCTTTCTTTTCTGTTTTTTTTTTTGCTTGTTGTATTGATTCTCCCAACATACAGCAAATCAATGTGAGACGAGCAGGAAATGGCCACAGCTTTATATCACTGCTATTATAATAAACAGTTCGTCTGCACATTGTTTTACACAGATGCAGCTAGGCTTCACCAGAGCGCATATGCTGCAGCAGAATAAATTCAATATAGCATTATTTAGAGAAACCGATAGCTTATCTACCCATCCTAAGCTTCTGCAAGGGCATCAGAGCATTATTGAAAGTCATTTGTGGTTAGGGAGTTCTCATGCTGTGTCCTGACGGCGAAAGTAAACATCGCATCTCCTATCAGTGGTTTCTGTCACTGCTGCGTCTCCTCCAAAGCATTCTGATGTGAAAACAGGCTTAGATCAACATCATGTTTATTTCAGGAGAGCGGATCATCTTGAAGTGCAAAACTCCTCCTCATGCTTCTATAGAGCAAGTGTCTTGTTTCCAAAATACAGAACTTTTGGATTCAGATCTGAAATGATCTTTAGATTCGCCACATCTGCATCCAAAACATACGCGTTGTAGACAGAGAATGCAAAGCTTAAGCAATCCTCCTTATGCAGAGCAGGTCATTTAAAATGGTTAAGGATTACCTATAAATATGATCTATAAGCTGACATTAAAAATATCGCTGTAACCGACTGAAATTACCAAGCTCGCATATTCCTCCCATTTCTATAATTGCAAAGAAATTAAACTCAACCTTGGGCGAGACGACTAATTCCTTTCTGGTCTAAATCTGTCACAACAGTCTGGTGTTTCTCTCCCATGTGTGTTTCAGAAATGCACCCATCCCGATGATGTGAAACTGTGCACTGTGATCGTCAAGTCCAGTGGGAATTGTCCTGTGAACAACAAAAATGTGGTACATCCATTTTCGCTGTTGTTTTCCCAGATATCGCACTAAACAGGATTTTGTTGTGCTCGCAACCTCCAGAAGTAATGCAGACAGCTGATATTTGAGAAACGACAGTGTGTCAACAAATATTAAAAGTTAATCTCTGTACTTAATGTACACTTCATATAAAGTTATATTGACTGAAACAATAAACAAGTTAAATAGAGTGAAATCAATCAGTGAACCATTTCACACAGTACCCTTACAAAATGACTGCAGTTTAAAAAAAGGAATTAAAGGTTTTAGTTAACCTCTTAAAAGTGAAGTTGTTTGGACAAAAAAAGCTGCGTTATTTATATATATTGCAGTATTACTGCAATACAACTGAAATACAAAAATACAATCAACGCAGTACATCTACTGCAATAAAACTGAATTATTACTACAGTCCAAATGCAGTACAACTACTGCAATTCAGCTGAATAACTACTACAGAACAACTACTGCAATAGTACTGAAGTGATACTACAGTACTACTATAATGCAGTACAGTATAATGCACTACTGCAGTACAACTGCTATACAACTACTACTTTTCCTGCTTGGTGGACAATGTTTTCTAAATGAGGTTTCAGCACTTCATTTGTACTGCTGAAGTACTACCACAATATATTGTATTGTATTTTTCTGAAGTATAAGTAACTACAGAAAAACATATACAATACTGCAATACATAATTAAACTAAAGTGTACTTTTAATACTTATGAACCCAAGTGCAAAACATTATATAACATATCACTATATTGCCCCTTTCAGCTAATTTAATGTTACTTCAGTTGTATTGCAAGTTTTACTGCTGTTGAATTTTATTGTATTGTTGTTGAACTGTGTTTATGCCTCATTATACTGCATTTCTTTTCAGTTGCATTGGATTTGGTTGTACTGTTCAGGTCACCACAGTTATTTTTGTATTATTAATTTATTGCAAATAAACTCTTAAAATTCTAATTAGAAAATTACTTGAATCCAAAAAACATCCCTGAAAAAATACAAAATATTTTTGGAAGATGTTGAAGAACAAACCCTTTGGAACACAAGTGCAGTACAGTTCTTACCACACCATAGGCATAATAGACTACAGCAGCACATGAGCAGTAAAGATGGAGTTTACTTGTTTTTACTCCAGTTTACTGCAACTTATAAAATACTTATAAAATGCAAAATATTTTATTGTACTGTATTTGAACTGGGTTTTTTACTTCATTGAATTGCAGTTTTGCAAATTGTACTTAATTTTACTGCAGTTATACTTCTATATACTGTAATTGTACTGAAGTTGTACTGCAGTTTTACTTCACTTTTCTTGGATTTACTGCACATATTAAATGTTTACATGAAAACAATGCATTATAAAGCAGAAAAGTCTGCATTTGTAAAGGGTAGCCAGCCTGATTTCATGAAGAAATGCAACTATGTTACATTTTGTCAGTTTAATGTTAGTTCAGTCTTATGAAAATTTTAGATTTTAAAAAAGATGTGGCACCCAACCTCGCCCCTAAACCCAATCATCATCGGGAGATACATGAATAGTACTAAATTGTACAAATGAGTTCTTACAAATTATCCACTAAATCAAAATGTTACGAATTGTGAGATGATGTTGGGTTAGCATACAGATGACAAAGCTGTCAAAGCAATTTCTGTTCCCATGGATCGACAAAGACTAAAAACTTTATTTTGCATGCCAGGCCATCTTGTTATATAGAAACACTTGTCTGTGCACAAAAGGCATTGTTGATGTTTTTTTAATAAGCAAGGGCTTGATGTCATTGTTTTTACAAATATTAGAATTTTTGCTAACCTTTTCAAAAACATCATAACGAACATAGCTTTTTCAGACTACGTTTACACAATAATATGCATTAAAAATATATCCATGAAAATGGCCAAAAATGCTGCATTATGTACAGTATCTATGTATAATATTTGGTGGTGTTATCCTATTAGTTAGCAACTGTTAGCAAGTGACAATGTGCCGTTGGTGTCTCTGTGCTTTTGTCTATGTAGAATTTGATGTGTGTGTAATAAGACACATCTCTGCTTTTCGCTGTAATGTGAAGTGAATGTTTGCTAATGCTGATGAACCATTAGCAAACACTTGTAGCACCAACAACACTACTGCCATGTAATCCACCACTGTAGTGCATAACGTATGTTTGTTTGTGCTTGCCGTTAATCTCCATATGTATGCACATGACATCATTGTTTACAAGGACTTCAGCTTTCGGGTGATTACATGGACATGACAATGGCAACATTTAAAAAAAATGTCCACTTTAAAAACCTGTTTCAAATATATGCATTTAAAGTCCCAAAAATGATGGTGACTTGTAAACGAAGAGGAAAAACATATAAAAAGATTCCTGTTTATGGCTAAAAAACATTGTTGTGTAAAAGCCCCCAGAAAACGTACTATATGTAAAATGCTTTATAGTTTAGAACTGTTTGTATAAACATACCTTTGGCCAAACAGACTTTTCTTCTTCTTTTTCGGTTAGATCTTCATAAAAGAGGTTGTAAACAACGGGGACGACATCCAGATGGATGAGATCACAAACCGAAACCCTTCGAGACAGAGGAAGCAGGATCAGTCTGGTGGAAGTCAACAAAACAGCCGGCTGGTTAACTCTAATCTAAGAGAAACTGACATATCACCTCCATCGCCTGAAGCTGGTGTCAAGCCTGAAAGAAATGGCAACACCAGCAGTATCACGAAAGGGGCCAAAGCATTTGAGATCCAGGTCTCCCCCACCGGCAAAACTCAGACATCAGTCAAAACTCTTAACAAACGCAAAATCTCTCAGCAGAAGGAGAAGAAGGCCACTCAGATGTTAGCTATTGTCCTTGGTAAGTGCTTTTTAAGAACTTTAACACAAAGGTACAGTGTGTGTATGAAAAAAATGTTGCTTGATTTATTCATGAAGTGCAAACACTGTGACACTTTCCAAAAAAAAAATAAATAAATAAATCACTAAACAGCAACACTGGCTCAGCCAATAGTGTGACTTTTGAGCAAGACCAATTCCTGACCAATTGCAGACAGGTAGTGTCTCGTTTCAGAAACGGAAAGGGAGCAAGGACTCAAATGCAGTAAATTAGGGGTTTATTAATAATAAAAATACAACAAAAACAACCCAGAGGTGGAAAACATTAACACAACGGTAAAAACAAACTAGACTGGGCTGGCAGGGAAGAACGGGGCTGGACACGACAGGACAATGCAATTATAATAGATGAACTGGCACAGGGCAGCAGACATGAGTAGACTATAAGCAGAAAGAATTAACAAGCAAACAGGTGAACATAATAAACTAATTATGGGTTAACAAGGAGGGTGGGACTAGACAATAGACAGGAGCACATAACACTAAGAAACAACACAAGCCATGTGCTCATGTAAAAAGGACTAGAACATTCAGCCAATGAGAGAACTCTTAACTGCATGTTCATATGAAACTCCAAAGCACGATGTAAAACACAGAGCCACGTGCTAAGACACCAACAAAAACAGAATGTGAGATAGAGCACACTATAAATAAAAACACTTACGGTACACGTTTCCAGTCCCACTGCCAACCGAAACCAACTAGACCAGAGTGCTGAGAATGATAACACCATGCCGTGAACAAAACAACAAACACACTAGGGGTGCTTTTCAGAAAACCATCGTTAGCTAACTAAGGTGGCAAGTTCTGTTGTTACAAACATAATTCACTGATTTGGCATTTCCCAAATCCGTCTTACCAACGAACATTCGCAAAATGCATCGCAAACTTGTACGCTTGTAACTACACCTTTAGAGCTGTAGTTAGAAACATAGTTCCTGACTGTGATCTGTTTCTTGTTATATGCCCTATTTATTTAAAATATTCTAACATTTAAACTTGGAATAATTAAAAAAAAAACATTAAAAGTCATCACTCTTAGGTGTAATTTGCTTTCAAAGTATTTTACAGTTCAGTTTTAGTGATCTTTACATTGACAATTGCGCTCCCCTCGTAGTGCACTTTGAAAACATTTATGCCATTATGAACGCAGCTTTGGCTCATGACGAAAGCTATAGGTGACCTATAAGATAAAAGCGGAATTTACGTTACCTCTCCAAAGCTTGTGAAAAAAAAATATATATATATATATGTTATAATATATGTTACATAATATTTAATATACCCTAATGGTTTTAATTTATGATTGGTTATTTATTAAGAAATTTATCTGTACTGTATATGACGTGAGCCTGTTTGTTAGAAGAATTGGAAAAGTAAACTTTTCCAAAAAAGAAAAAAATAATAATAAACAACAACAACAACAACATAATAATAATAATAATAATAATAATAATTATTATTATTATTATTATTATTATTATTATTATTATTATTATTATTATTATTATTATTATTATTAAGTAGGATTTTTTTCCCATTTCTTAATAAACTATATTAGGCCTACAATCATTAACGTTTTGTATGATTTTACATGAGATTAGAATACGTTTTAGCTTAGTGATTTAATATGGAATATTCTCCATAATATTTGTAAAGGAAACATATATAGGTCCTATATGTGTCATTTACATACCCTATTTTTCAATTAATATGGAAAACAAGTGCATGTTTTTACCAAAACTAATATTGGATTTTTTTTTTAAAATACGAGTGCATAAAAGACTAAATAATTTGCACAATATAATTACAATATTTACAATGGAATATAATCTGTGGTGTTTTGCTCTAAAAAAAGTAGTTACTCCACCCAGTTTAGGGCATCATTATGGACGCTTTACATTATAACTAACGGGGTTCAAACGATGGATCTGCGACAGAGAAGCTACAGTTTTGGGACTAAACACTCGTCACTACTTTGTTCTTTTCCCAAACAATGCATTGTACTATGATAGTTCAGCCGCAGGTTATGTCATTGTTTGGAAAACGCACTCCAGTACGAGAGTGCGGATCCCGAGCACGCCCAGACCTCACGTGCACGGGTCAAGCAGGAGTGTGCACAGCTCGAGCACAGTCAAGACAGTGCTCATACAAAAGAAGAAATCAGACAGGAAATATGAGTGCTCGACCCGAGAAAACTTGAGCCGAGCACAACATACTAGACAAGACAGGACTAGTGTCTGGACTCGTTATTGTTATTGAAGAAAATGCAAAAGCATGTTATTTATAATCTACACAACTTGCTTTCTCTAAAATGTGCAGTATATTAGAATAAATTGAGCATTTTTGCTGAACACACACTTTGCTTCAGACTCAATGAGGAGAGTAATAAATTTAATTTAAAAATCCTTTTATGTTTTTTTGAGCAAGATGAACAAAGGGAAAGACTTAATAGTGTTTAATGGTGTAATGCTTACTTATTAAAATTGTCTTAATTAAGTTAACCAACTAAATGAATGAAGCTACAGTTAAATGTGCAATAATAAATGTATTCTAAATTAAATTAATTGATCCTTTCAGGGAACCATATCAAATCACTTTAACTGCTTAATGCGGTCACTTCAAAAAAAATTATTCTATGAAGTTAAAATTAAATGAACAAATTAAGTCAACTGATTAATGTGGAATGGGTGTACATGGCTAAATATAAATCCAACATACTTCCTTCAGTTCTGTTTGCATTTTTACCATTTTAGAAAGAAGACTTTTCTGCTGCATTTGAAAAAATCCAAAATACAGCAAAACAGCAAACTTGTAAAATATTTATTAAAGTTCAGAAGAGCCGTTTTCTGTTTGAATATATTTTAAAGTGTAATTTATTCCTCTGATGTCAAAGCTGAATTTCCAGCATCATTACCCCAGTCTTTAGTCTCACACGTTCCATAGGAAATCATTATGATGGTAATTAAAATTATTATAATCATCATTAATTATTACTGATGTTATTATAATCAGTGGTAGAAAAAACTGCTGCTTAATATTTTTATGGATACTGATACATGTTTGATTCATAAAAAGTTCAACAGAACAACATTTGTTTGAAAAAAGAATTATTTTACAACAAATATTCAGCCTTTTATCTTAATGAACTACACAATAAAAATTAACAACTTGCTGAAAAATAATATTCCCCTCAACACCTCTGCTTTATTTTTAGGTGTATTCATCATCTGCTGGCTGCCGTTCTTCATCACACACATTGTCAACACTTACTGCCAAGTCCCTCCTGAACTCTACACTGCCTTTACATGGCTGGGCTATGTGAACAGTGCCGTAAACCCAATCATATACACCACTTTCAACATCGAGTTTCGCAAAGCCTTCATTAAGATTCTGCACTGTTGAGACGGAACTCACTTCAATGGAGCAGAAAGGGATGGAAATAATACCTCATCTGCAGTGGACACAGTGTAAAACTTCACTGGAAGAATCATAAACGCATCCCATACAGACTTGGGCCTGGAGGCTACTGTACATCTCTTGCATTTCACTGAGATTAAAACTAAAGGAATGTATATAAATTGACTGTATTATAAAAAACAATTTTGTTGTAAGATCGTATCATCCAAAAATGGAAAGAAAAAAAAAACCCTGGGGGAGATGGGGCTTTTTAATCAGTATCTTCAGCACAGACATGTTTGAGATACTGTACAACTTCAAGCAATGGCTTTCCTTATCTGTTTGTCAGTATTATGTTTCTAAATCTGCTAAAAAAATCCCAAACGGAACTAGTGGAAAACAGCATACATAACATTACTGTGTATGGGGTGTAACGGTACACATGTCACTGTTCAGTATGTATCTCGGTCTTGAGATCACAGTTCAATACAGCTTTGATAAAACAGGAATAAGCAGTAAATCCCCAGTGCTTGCTTTTTTCTGTTTATTTTGAACAGACAGAAGTGTCACAATCAGCTACAGATCTCAAAAGCTACTTCTGATATAAAAGTACAAAATAAGTCGATTAATGAAACATAAAACTTTATATAATGAAGAGACTGTGTATTAATAAATTAAAAGACAAGTTCAACCCTCTCCAAAAATAACAAATACACATTAGTTGAGCATTACATTTAAGATTCATTCATTTCCTTCAGCTTAGTCTCTATTTCAGAGGTCGACCAGTACTGGCAAACAACCATACACATTCATTCGCGCGCACACGCTCGCTCGCTCGCGCACACACACACACACAGTTTCCCAGAAGAAACCTACTTGAATATGGGGAGAACATGTAAACTCCACGCAGAAATGCCAACTTAGACTTGAACCAGTGACTTTCTTGCTCTGAGTTGACTGTGCTAACCACTGAGCCACCATGCCGCCCCCAATTTAAGATTCGATAAGCTTTAAATCTGAAATCTCTTTTATTGAAAATGCCAGCATGGGATGTCCATTTATCTGTTATTATATTAGCAGCAGGTGCACTCCAACTTTAAAATGAGCTGAAACAACATGATTTTGGGGGGAAATTTACTTGTTTTGTGTTCAGTCTACTCAGATTAGATACGTTAAGTTAGTAGATTTGTGTTGAGGCAACATGAATGAATTGTGTGGAACCCTGCATTTTTTACAGTGTGCAGTGAGCAACTCCTGATCAGTCACTGCCCTTGTGTGTGTGGGACCACAGACTGGTTTACGTACTGTACACACAAACTGGGTGCGTCCCAAATATTGGGATATTGGGTATGCATATTGCATACTTATGCACTATTTTACACCACTTAAGAGTATAAATAGTCTGATAATCAATAAAATAAAATAATAGACTGATTTATACTTCTCCGTCAACCTCTCAAAAATGTAACTACACGTCACAACAACGCTAAGCACAAGCACTGTGATAGGTCGGCTTGGTAGCGCTGATGACCTTGGGTGGGCGGGAACTAGAGCTGCGTGAGTCCGTTGGAGCGAGTGTTTACAAGTGTCGAGTCCCATGAAGGAGCTCCAAATGGAACATTTTGTTTTGTGTTTATCTTATGATTAAAGTTGTTTCATGTCTGCCGGTATCTGCCTCAAAATGAGCGAGTTTGAGCCACTTGTACATTAAGGAAGCGTTCAGAAAAAACAAAACACCAGTGAAGAAACTCGACACAGAGGAACATAAACACCTCACTAGCTGCTAGCGTTCCGGAAGCGTTATTGCAGAGGAACAGACACAGCGCACAGAAGTAAATGCACGGCAACGCGCAAGGCATGCGCCGTGGGTCACACCAATCACTCGACGAAGAAGTATAAACCAGACTTAAGTCAGTGGCTGCGTCCGAAACCGCCTATTACTCAGAAGATACTGCATTTGACTTTAAACGTACTACTCGGCCCTTAGAAAAGTACATTCTATACAGTATGAATTCAAGAAGTATTACTGAAATTTGGACATATTACATTTTTTCACTCTCTCATGGGGCATCATGGGACAGCGTAGCATGCATGGGATGCATACTTCAGATTTATGCCAGAAGTAGTAAGTCATACGGGTACTTCTCGCATACTGATTTTCAAATTCTATGAATTCGGACAAATTACTCGGCTCGCATACTCATTTTAGCGCACTGTATAGTATGAAAGTATTTGGTTTCAGATGCAGCCTGTGTTTCTCAAACATGCTTCTGGCCAAACACACCTGAATCAGATCTTCTGCTCATTAGCAGAGATTGAAAGACTGTGGTGAATGGGTGTGACAGACAAAGGAGTCATCCAAAACATGCAGTGTTGGTGGTCCTCCATTAACGTGGTTCTAAATAAGCGAATGATGCACTTGTTCAACCAAAAAAGAAATGTGGAATGTTGCTTAAATGTTTTATGCACACAACAGTCACAGCTCTGCCCACGTAGCGGAAGGTTAGGCGCTATCGGGTGCTGAGGTTGAATTACATTATTAATTTTGAATTAATTTGGATTAATTAAGTTTTATTAATTATCAAGTACAATTCTAAGTTAAAATTTGCAAGTTATTATGCCATCTCTCAAAGGTCAATACAGTTTTACACATGACAGGTACTATTTGATAGTCTCATTCACACTAGCAGCAACTTCGTAGTTGCCTGAGTGGCGACCTACTGCAAACGCAGGCCTGTGTACTGTAGATCTACAGCAAAGAGAATACAATTGGCCTCTAAGCGAGCTGAGAGAGGATCACGGGAGCTCTACTGCTGCTCCTGTTGGCTGACATTCAAGAAAGTTGCTCTTCATTTGCATAAAGTTGAAGGATTCTCAACTTTGTTACATCGTTAGACACGCCCACCTGGTCGCAAACGGTTGATGTCGCTTGCATTATTTGCATTATTTGATAGCAACATGCCAGATAAAGAGTGGTATGGTGGCTCAGTGGATAACATTGTCGCCTCACAGCAAGAAGGTTGCTGGTTCTTGTCCCAGTTGGATCAGTTGAATCATTTCTGTGTGGATTTTGCATGTTCTCGCAATGTTCTTGTGGGTTTTCTCTGGGTGCTCTGGTTTCCTCCACAGTACAAAATACATGCGGGATAGGTGAACTGAATAAACTAAATTGGCCATAGTGTACACTATGTGTGTGAATGTGAGTGTATGGGTGTATCCTAGTTCTGGCTTGCAGCTGGAAGAGCATCTGCTGTGAAAAACATACACTGGATAAGTTAGCTGTTCATTCTGCTGTGGTGACCACTGATGAATATAGGAACTAAGCCAAAGGAAATGAATAAACATGGCGGAGAGGGTGCTTTTTTTTAAAAAGCATTGTTGAGAGCTCTATCTCAAATTTTTTAGATGGAAATATGTGTTCTGTGTTAATGGCTTTGGTGACTGAACTCCCTGTATATATCCTCAAAGTACATGAATTAAACTGTGACACCTGTACCGTGATTGTTCAGAACATATACATGTACCGTTACACCCATTGATAAAACAATTTTTTTTTTAATTTTTATGAAAAAGCCTATTTATGCCAGTCATGTCTGACGTTATGTCCCATGTTTATAATGTGTTTGTTAGATGTTCTGCAACTACCATCCAGCATAACACATTAAACAACTTAAATAACGCATTGAGCAAACTGACTGTAATCATCTGTACACTGTTAACGATTTCCTGTAGAATCTACAGCAACTTACTGTAAATCAACTGCAGCAAATATACTGTAGTTACAATTACAGCACTGTTTATCTTGCTGTATGTGTATTTACAGTATTGTAAATCTTTACTTTAAAATACTGTAATTTTCATAATGCAACTTCAAAATACAGTAACATGCATAACGCTCCTTCAGTAAAATGTAGTTAATATTACAGTTAAATACTGTACGATTTACAAAAATTGTTAACAGTGTAGTTTCGTAATGAATATCTAAGAATTTATGCCATATCGTCAGCAAAGTGGATTTAACATCATACCAAAAAAAGAAAAAACAAAGCAAAGAATAAAACACAATTTCAGTATAACGCTGATATTTTTAAACAAAATAACCTTGACCATCATAAGTTAGCCTTCCCAATGGAGGCATTACCCATTGTAGTTCCTTGTTTTTTGGCCTTGAGGAAGTAAATATAAGTGACGGAGTGAAAAGAGAGGATAAAGCTGAACTGCATGACATCCCTGTGGAATGGATTGAGTGAACAGCAAAGAGCATCGGCCAGGCGTTGCAATAAAAAAAGTCAGCAAAATGAGTGTAAATTTCATTTAAGGTCCCTTTTTTTCTGTTTATATGCGTAGCTTTTCATGCTTTATAATGACACACATTGAATGTGATGGGCCTGCCGCTGCAATGTAATGCATGTTCTCATGAGATGTTTGTCGCACACTGATATAAGATTATGAATAAAGTAATTGTTCACTGACGGCTTGCTGTTATCATGACAGATGTTTTTAGCAATACAAAGCAACAGTGTCTGCTATTTGATATCAATATCAATGTATTTCATCCTCGTAAACCTTGTGACAACTCTGGGCATTGCCTTCCCTGCAAACTTTATGGAGGATAAGAACATTTGAGCCATAAAACAAAGTTGCTTCCTTGCCCGAGGGGTGACTCGACTGATGTGGCACACAGCATGCTCTGTGGACGGACAACACGATGACATTAGCCCTATGGCAAGCATCTGTGGACACAGCTGATGATCAACACACACCACCGCTCTACAAACAACTGCTAAACTCACTTGTACACAAGCTTTGTGTAGTAATTTACATGTTTGTTTTGCAATCAGAATCAGATTCATCGTAAGCATAGAAAATCAATGGAAACAATGTTAAAGTCCAATAACATCTGCAACCATGCTGGGTCCACTTTCATGTTGACTCTTGAATATATTTAACTATAAAGTATATAATTGAATATTTAATAAAATAAAAAAAACTGTAATTCACAAATAAATCAAATACTTTGTAAAAAATGATTGCTTTTTAACAATACTTATTAAAGTATGAAGGTGTTAAAGAGATTACATGTAGAATTTTGACACTGCTGGTCATTAAGTGAACTATAAAAGTGATTTAATGTCCCAGATCAGAGCATTTTTTTGTCCCTTAATTCTTTAGGAGGATTACATTCTGAGCACAACATTTACTGTAGAACAGTCTTAAAACTAAAAGTCATTAATTGGTTTCCATGAACTTTTAAAAAGGTATTTAGAAGAATGACAAGCAGATGCCCAACTCATTTACTCCCACATGATTTATTTCCTGCTCAGTCCATAAATGAGTGGCGATATTCATTTGGTTCCTGACATTCTTTCAAATATTTTCCTTTGTGTTCAGCGGAACAAAGAAATAGTACAAAGAACTGGAATGGAAGTGTGAGGGTGAGAAAAAGAGAAAACTCAGTTTTACATACAATGCATCCTGAAAGTATTCATAGCGCTTCACTTTTTCCACATTTTGTTATGATACAGCCTTATTCCAAAATGGATTTATTTATTTCCTCAAAATTCTACATACAATACCCCATAATGACAATGTGGAAAAAATAAGTTTTGCAAATTTATTAGAAATAAAATGCCTGAAAAATTACATGCACATAAGTATTCACAGTCTAAATTGAGCTCAGGTACATTTTGTTTCCACTGATCATTCTTGAGATGTTTCAGCAGCTTAATTGGAGTTCACCTGTAGTAAATTCAGTGGATTTTGACATGATTTGAAAAGGCATACACCTGTCTATATAAGGTCCCAGGGTTGACAGTGCATGTCAAAGCACAAACCAAGTATGAAGACAAAGGTATTGTCTGTAGACCTCCGAGACAGGATTGTCTCGAGGCACAAGGCTGGGGTAGGTTACAGAAACGTTTTTGCTGCTCTGAAAGTTTGGAATCACTAGGACTCCTCCTAGAGCTGGCAGGCCATCTAAGCTGAGTGATAGGGGGAGAAGGGCCTTAGTCAGGGAGGTGATGAATAACCCAATGGTTACTCTGTCTGAGCTTCAGCATTCTTCAGTAGAGAGAGGAGAACCTTACAGAAGGATGACCATCTGTGCAGCAATCCACCAATCAGGCCTGTGTGGTAGAGTGGCCAGACGGAAGCTACTCCCCGCCTGGAATTGTTCATCTGAAGAACTCTCAGATCATAAGAAACAAAATTTTCTGGTCTGATGAGACTAAAAGTAAACTCTTTGGAGTGAATGCCAGGCATTACATTTGGAGAAAACCAGGCACCGATCATCACCAGGCTATTACTATCCTTACAGTGAAGCATGGTGGTGGCAGCATCATGCTGTGGGAATGTTTTTTCAGCAGCAGAAACTGGAAGATTGGTCAGGATAGAGAAAAAGATTAATGCAGCAATGTACAAAGACATTCTGAATGAAAACCTGCTTTAGAGTGCTCTTGACCTCAGACTGGGACAACAGTTCATCTTCCAGCAGGACAATGATCCAAAGCACACAGCCAAAATATCAATGAAGTGGCTTCACAACAACTCGGGGAATATTCTTGAGTGGCCCATCCAGTGCCCAGAACTAAATCTTGTTGGAAATCTCTGGAGAGATCTGAAAATGACTGTACACCACCACTTCCCATGTGCCAATC